TTAGAGGAATTTTATAGATTTATCCCACAAGAGAAAGTTGGGAGAGATCTAAAATTGACACTTAACAATCAACAATTAAAAGAACGATAGAGAAGCAGGCCAAACACATTTCAAAAGCCTTAGCAGAAGGCGAAGATAACTAAATCAGAGCCCAGAACTGAGGAGCAGGACCAAAAACCCTCCAAAAAATCAATGAACAGGGAGTTGGTTTTTTGAAAGGGATCAACAAAATTGATGACACGGGTAGCAAGACTAATAAAGAAGAAAAGAGGAGAGGAGAATCATAATAGATGCAATAAAAATGATAAAGGGGTATTCACCACCGGAACCCCACAGAATACAAACTACACTCAGAGGATACTTAACACACCTCTATGCCACAATAAACTTAGAAAGAACCTAGAATAAATGGATAAATTTCCGTGCCGACACTTACACTCTTCCAAAGGAAAACCAGGAAGAAGTGAATCCCCTGAATAGACCAATAGCAGGCTCTGAATTGAGGGCAATAAGTTAAATAGCATTGACCAACCAAAAAACGTCCCAGGACTAAGATGGATTACAAGCTGAATTCTACCAGAGGTACAAGGAAGGAGCTGGTACCATTCCTTCTGAAAACTATTCCAATCATGAAAAGAGAGGGATCCTCCCTAACTCATTTTATGAGCCCAACCATCATCCTGTTACAAGGCTGCAGGAGACACAACAATTTAGACCAATATCCCCTGATGGACATCATGTAAAATCCTCAGTAAAACTACATGCAACCACAAATCCAGCAGCACATCAAAAAGCTTATCCACCATTGATCTGGATACCTAAATACCATAAAATTCCTAGAAGAAACCTAGGATAATACCATAACAGGGACATAGCATGGGACCAAGGACTTCTTGCTAAACACCAAAAGGCAACGGCAGCAAAACGCCAAAATTGACAAGATGGATCTAATTAAACTAAAGAGCTTCTGCACAGCAAAAGAACATAACCATCAGAGTGAACAGGACCCTACAAGAAATGGGAGAAATATTTGCAATCTACTCATCTGACAAAGGGCTAATATCCAGGAACCTACAAGAACTCAAACAACATTCAAGAAAAAACAAACACCCCATCAAAAAAGTAGGGCAAGGATATGAAAGACATTTCTCAAAAGAAGACATTCATACAGCCAACAGGACACATGGAAAAAATGGCTCATCATCACTGGGCCATCAGAGAAATTGCAAATCAAAACCACAATTGAGATACCAATCTCACACAGTTGAATGGCAATTCATTAAAAAGTCAGGAAAACAGGTGGCTGGAGAGGATGTGGAGAAATAGGAACCACTTTTACACTGTTGGTGGGACTGTAA